GCAGGAGGATCACTTGAGGGCAGAAGTTTGAGGTTTCAGCGTACTATAATGACACCACTGTACTCAGAGACAGGCAACAGAGACATACCACATCTCAAAAAAAAAAAAAAAAAGGGTAGTACAGGTCTTCTTAAGCAAAACAGAAAACCCACAAAATGTAAAGAAAAAAATTAATAGGCTCGGCGCCTGTGGCTCAGGTGGCTAAGGCGCCAGCCACATACACCTAAGGTGGCGGGTTCGAATCCAGTCAGGGCCCGCCAAACAACAATGTTGGCTGCAACCAAAAAATAGCTGGGCATTGTGGTGGGCGCCTGTGGTCCCAGCTACTTGGGAGGCAGAGGCAGGAGACTCGCTTGAGCCCAGGAGTTGGAGGTTGCTGTGAGCTGTGAGGCTATGGCACTCTACCCAGGGTTACAGCTTGAGGCTCTGTCTCAAAAAAAAAAAAAAGAAAAAAATTGATAAACTTTGTACATAAAGATGAAAAATTCTATATAGTAGAAGTCCAAACAAGAGTATAAATTGGGAAAATATTTACAGCACCTATGACAGTCGAAGGACTCAGGTAATTTATAGAAAGTTATCATATATTAAGAAGAAAAAGATAATGTAGTGAAAAAGTGAGGACAGTTCATAGAAAAAGAAATATAAATGATCAAGGAACTTCCGAGAAGATGCTTAATCTTATTATAATGAAAAAAATTAAAAATTTTGGAGCACAATGTACAATATATACATATACATATATGTGTATATATTATATATATATGCCATCTATCTATCTATCTAATCTATCAAAATTTAAGAGGTGAAAATTTCATCCTGAGCAAGAGCGAGACCACATCTCTAAAAATAGCTGGACATTGTGATGGTCACCTATAGTCCCAGCTACTCAGGAGGCTGAGGCAAGAGAATCACTTGAGCCCAAGAGTTTGAGGTTGCTGTGAGCTATGACACTACGGCACTCTACTGAGGGCGACGAAGTGAGACTCTGTTTTTAAAAAAAAAAAAGAGGTGAAAATGGCACCATGGGTAAAATTTAAAATGAACATCCATTTTGTCATGGTGATTTTGCTTTCAGGAATTTATCCTATAATTCCCCAAATATAAGTATACAGAAATGTTCATTGCAGCATTTTTGTAATAAAGATTGGAAAGAGGGTAAACATCAATCAGTAATATATTGGTTAAATTCTGCTAAATCCACACTACAGAGTATTAATGTATGTTATAAAAAGATATATGTGATATATTAGGAAAAAAATGTTTTACAGAATAGTGCACATAGTATAATCTCAAATTATTTTAGAATGGTATATGTGTACACACATGTATAGTGTATCTCCATATATATTTTTGTTCATATATATGTGAACTAACAACAAAACCTGATAGGAATCATTTGAAAAGTTAGCAGTGATTTTTAAAAAAAAAATCAGATTAATATGAGGTTATAAATGATTAGGTTACATTTTGTGTTTGTCCCAGGAGGTGTGCTGTGTACCCTTAGTATTGTGTACCTATGTACATTGTGCCTCTTAGGTGAGAGATGTCCTCTTTTAAGACATCTTTTAAGATGTCCTCTTAAAAGAGATATCTCTCTTTTTTTTTTTTGTAGGAGAGTAGTCCTTATTTTTTAAAGTCATACATGCCTCTTAGAATCTGATGAGAGCTATGAATCCTTTCCCTAATAAAACGAAAGTATGTATGCGCATAATTTTAAGTGATCTGCAGAATTGATTAGGAGAGAATGCCTATTATAAGTTAATCAGCGTGGTCAGTGGGGATTGTTCCTTGGGCCAGGCGTACATTTGGGGGAAGGGGCAGCAAGGTGGATGTGAACGGGCAAGCGGCGACCGCGCAAAAAGTTTAGGCTCTCCCTGTGTGTCCTGGAGTTAAGGAAGCCAGAGGTGAGAGCCCCAGCTGGCTGCACTTCTTAGGCCAGGTGGTGGCAGCACACAGTATTAGTAGCTACATCCACCTGGTCACTCACGGTGAACAGGGCGAAAGGGTAGGTAGGAAGAGTATTCCTTTCTTTGCATCGCTGAGTTGTCTCTGTGGGAAATTGAAGGGAGGGGGGAGAGAAAGAGCTAAATGTGGTTACTGCTGTTGTTGCCTGAATTCTGAGGATGTGAGGCTCTGGAATGTGGGAGGAGCGCGAGGGCAGCACCTTCTCCCTCTTTTGACCCTGCAGGGAGGATCAGACCTTCTCTGTGCGCCTCACAGTTTCAGCTGCCTCAGCTTTAGGAGACTGGAATTCATCCAGTGGCAGGTGTTCAGAGTACTCATCAAATCACAAGAGGCTCACATAATAGCCAGTCAAGACTTTGGGACATTAAACAAATGTTTTGCTTTAATTAAACAAGACAGGATTGTGTTGCTTTTATCAAATTGCAAGTTGATGCAAAAGTAGAAAAAGTAATGAATCATTTGTGTAAAGTGGCCAGAATTAGACAACTGGTGGTCTGTTCGTGGACTAATTCATAGATCATGTATAAATTTTCAGTTTTAAAACAGATTAGTAGTACGTTTTGAAAGCTACTATTTGGCTATAACTAGCAGAAACATTTTCCTTGCGTTACAAATAAATATAATGAAATTAATGAGGCCTTTTGGGATTTTCCCTCCCACCTAGATTCTTTTCTACTCAAGTGAAAATAGCATCACTTCATTTTCTCAATATAAAAGTAATCCAATTACTGACTTTTAAGACATGAACAAAAGTTTAAGCAAGATACTCTCACTATCGGTCTCATTTTCTGAGATCCCGCCCCCCATTTGGTATAGGAGTGGAGAGAAAAATGATAGAATTCGGTGGTGAAGGGAGAGGCAGTTGCATTCGGAGTACAGAAAAGGAAAAAATATTCCTCAAAGAGGAGGAAAAAGCCAAAAGACAAGGGAGCAGATGCTGTCTCTCCCTGTTAACCAAAGAAAGGCAAATCCCAACGACAAGAAGAAGGTATTTCTGGTCTCCTGGTTTGGTAAAGAGGAAAATGAGTGGCAGGACCTGGTGTGGCAGGGTAGAAAGGGGGAGGGCCGGCTTCTGCCGCACTGCTGGTGGGAGGGGTAATTGGGGTCCCGATCTCGCGGATGACGTGGCCCTCACGAGAGCAGGAGACGACGTGTACAGAAGTCCTTCTAATCCTGGTCTTCGTTTGGTCCTGTGGCCCTCTCCCTGTTGCCCGGAAGGCGGGCCTGTGGCCGGGGGAAGGAGAAGGCGGTATATGCCTGGAGTCCAGCAGGTCTGTGTGTGGATGGGCGCTGCCTGGGGATCCCTGCGGTACGGTCAGCGCAGGGTGGAGACTGAAGGGGGAACCCAGCCCGCTTTCTCACACTCTTGCAGTTTCCCTCGCCCTTCCTAGAACAAAAACAGTGGCCCCTGGGGCCGGGTATCAGAGGAGATCCCAGACTAAGGCGCGGGGGTGGGGTGGGGTGGTGCTTTGGCATCCAGGGCCTTGAATCCGGGAGGGCAGGTATTTGGATGCTTGTCCTGTGTGTTGGTCCATCAACCAAGCCAGACTCCTGCGGTTACGTGTCTGTCATTCCCTTTGTCTTTCAGTAAGGCGCTATGCCTTTTGGAACAAAGGAGTAATCTGCCTCGAATCCCAGCAGGTCAGTGTAAAGCTGGAATTGCCCGCGGCCCCCGGAAGGGTGTGGTTGGCTGAGATCCTCGCCTTAATTTGGACCCATTATTAACTCTCCATCAAACTCCCTGCCACTTTTTGCAGGAAAAAGAACTTAACCGTGCCTACAGGAGCACCGGTTGTGATGGGGGGTAGGGTGTGTTGAAGAGAGGGACGAAGAGATTGTTTGGTTTGGCCTGCTTTCTTTCCTCGGGTTTTCCTTAGGCCCTCGCTCCACCCTCCCTTCCAGTGGTTAGAAAGGGGTGTGTTTTGCTGGGAAAATGGCTGACCGCTGGGCGGGAGGTGGGCAGAAGGACGGGGAGAGGGGCGCGTGGACGCTGTGTAGCGAAGGGGCTGGTGTTAGGGGAGTCCAGAGAAGCGGGGCTAAGGTGAAAGACAAAAAGGTAGAAAGATAAGATCCATTTGACAGGACCCTAAAATACCCAGGAAAAGCGGGTATTGGGACTCTCCGAAGTTCTGTTCGCTGAGCCGTCTGTCTCAGCTGTGTCACTTGTGTCGGTACATCTCGTGCCTGAAGGCCAATCCAGCCCTAGGAGCAGAAAGAAGAAAACTGTCTAGAAATAAGTAGATCAGAGGGAGGGTGATGGCATGCTTTGGGGACCCCTGGGATGGAGGATGATGACCTCAGCAAATTCCAGTTGGTCCACGGACCTCCTCCTTCTCCCCCCTCCTTCCTTCCTTCAAAGCTTCCTCTCTCTACCATTTCCGAGCTTGCACAAAGAAAATGCTTTTCCGGTACTAGACAGGGAAGAAAGTAGCTGGGAGGGGGTGGGTGTCAGGCCAGTTCTGGAGTAGGGGTGGTGAGGGCATTACTCCAAATACTGTTTGGGGTACAGTGTCCTCGGTGTTGGTCTGTCCACCAAACACTTTCAGAGCTTGCTAGTACTTAGCTTTAGCACAGGCAGAAACCAAGGTAAGGGAGGAAAGTCACTGTCCCAATCAGTGGAAATTGGTGTAATTAGGGGGCGGTTGTCCTGGTACCTTTCAGATGTTGGGGATGGCAGAGGGATGGATGGAGTTAGAGACTTTTAAGCATTTCACGCCTGTGTAGCTTCTAGATATTCTCACTTCGCCACCATTGATTTTGTTACAAAGAAGGGAATGTGGCGCCACCTTCAAAGGATATGACTGACTGGGGTGGGGCAAAAGGTTTGAAGGAGAGGATTACTGGAGGAGGAGGGAGGGAGAAAATTAATTTCAATTCCTCAGATCCGTGAGGAGAGGGGCTACCTAAAGGTGGGAAACACTGGGCAATGCAGGACAAGGGGTAGGGATTCAGAAGAGGGACATGTGCCCCATCCAGTCCTGGGTGATGTCTACATGTTCCATGAACACTCAGTACCCCCTCCTTGTCTGCAGGTTTGCAGGACATAGTGCACTTGGAGGCAAGAAAGAGAAGGAAGAAACTGCCTGGACCTCTGTGGGTGTACGTGAGGGAGCCACTGCTCCCAGGACATCTGGAAGGGCAGGAGTGGTACGAACTGGTCAAATACTTTAATGTTCTGGGTTGGGCAGGGGAATGTGAGCTTGGGGAACCTGGAAGTGGGCAACATTTCCAAAATTAGATAAAGGAAAGGGGTCAGTGATCTAGATACCAAGGCCTGAGTCCCTGCCAGTATACCTGAGTTTTTGTACGTTCGTCAGTCTGTCTGCATGCAAAGGCACAAAAGGAGGAAGAGCCTGAAGCCTGAAATCTTTCTTTTCCTAGGTGGTGTTTTCTGTGCTGCAGCAAAGCCAGTCAGCCGTAGCCGAAGACTCTGCTCCCCTGTGGGCCAGAGCAGACCTGTTCAGTGCCTAGGTTAAGAGATTCTCCCAGGCTGTACCATGGGCCGCACTCGGGAAGCTGGCTGCGTGGCTGCTGGTGTTGTCATCGGGGCTGGTGCCTGCTACTGCGTGTATAGACTGACCTGGGGAAGAGATGAGAATGAGAAAATCTGGGATGACGACCAGGAGTCCAGTGACACGTCAGAGGCTGCAACTGAGACTGGAAAAGGAGTAAAGGCTAACATTGGGGCAGGGTCTGGGGCCAAAGTTCAGGGTTACTCGAACGCCAAAGCTGAGGTGAGTTTGGGACTTGAGAGTGGAGCAGGTGTTAAAGAGGAGTCCCGCTCAGCATCTCAGAGTGGAGGTGGCCTAGAGGCCAAGGCCAAAGCCCTTTTCAGTACACTGAAGGAACAGGCAAGCGCAAAGGCAGGCAGAGGGGGCAGGGTGGGTACCATCTCTGGGAACAGGACCCTGGGACCAAGTTTACCTTGCCCAGGAGGCAGGGGTGGAGGCTGCCACCCCTCCAGGAGTGGGGCTAGGGCTGGGGGCAGGTCAAGTGGAAAATCCAAGGGAAAGACCCGAAGTAAGAGCACCAGGACTCCAGCTACAACATGGCCTGTCCGCAGGGGCAAGTTCAACTTTCCTTATAAAATTGATGATATTCTGAGTGCTCCTGACCTTCAAAAGGTCCTTAATATCCTAGACAGAACAAATGATCCTTTTACTCAAGAAGTAGCCTTGGTCACTCTGGGTAACAATGCAGCATATTCATTTAATCAAAATGCCATACGTGAATTGGGTGGTGTCCCGATTATTGCAAAACTGATAAAAACAAAAGATCCTATTATTAGGGAAAAGACTTACAATGCCCTTAATAACTTGAGTGTGAATGCTGAAAATCAGGGCAAAATTAAGACGTATATCAGTCAAGTGTGTGATGACACCATGGTCTGTCGCTTGGACTCAGCTGTGCAGATGGCTGGTCTAAGACTGTTAACCAACATGACTGTGACTAATCATTACCAACATTTGCTTTCCTATTCTTTTCCAGACTTTTTTGCTTTGTTATTCCTGGGAAATCACTTCACCAAGATACAGATTATGAAACTAATTATAAACTTCACCGAAAATCCAGCTATGACGAGAGAACTAGTCAGTTGTAAAGTACCATCAGAATTGATTTCCCTCTTTAATAAAGAATGGGATAGAGAGATTCTTCTTAATATCCTTACTCTATTTGAGAATATAAATGACAACATAAAAAGTGAAGGGCTTGCATCATCCAGGAAGGAATTCAGCAGAAGTTCACTTTTTTTCTTATTCAAAGAATCTGGAGTTTGTGTCAAGAAAATCAAAGCATTAGCAAATCACAAAGATCTGGTGGTGAAAGTAAAGGTCCTAAAAGTATTAACCAAACTCTAATTTGGAGTCTATTCCAAACAGTGTGGCGGCAACCTTTTAAGTTTGCACCTGCAAACTCTGTATTTTGTAAATCTTTGCTTGCACTCTGCTTATGTGGCAAAGAGATCCTTTCAGCTACTATTTTGGAATAATGAGTATCATAGATCCTCAACAGTGATTGGTGCTGGTTGTGATGGTTCATTTAGGCTGGACCCTTTTAAGATGCCAGATGAATATTAGAGCTTGTACAAAGAATGAATTTGTTGATTTGACCTTGTTATGTTGATTTGATCTTGCTACTTAAATTGCGATATTTGTACTCTTTTTTTTCTACCTAAACTGACAGCAAGTTAATTGTACATCATAAATAAGCTGTACTTTTGTATTGGTTTACTTTTGTTAATCTAAGACTGTGTTTCATCAATAAAGTTGTGTTTAAAGCAGCAGGAAAAAAAATTGCCCTTGTTCTTGAGTTTATGATCTATTTGGACAAGCAAAATGTATGGAAACAAAGAGAGAGTAACAAAACTGAGAGCAACTGATCACGATTCGATGCTTCCCATTAGTGCCAGCTACAGTGCTCAGGGAAATTTTTACAGTGGAGGGGGACACTTAAGAAAGCTGGGCTTAAAGGATAGTATTAAAGAGGTTCAGAAGGGCTCAGTGCCTGCAGCTCAGCAGCTAGGGTGCCAGCCACATATACCAGAGCTGGCGGGTGGTGGGTTCGAATCTAGCCCAGGACTGCCAAACCACAATGACAACTACAACCAAAAAATAGCCAGGCGTGGTGAGCCTCTGTAGTCCCAGCTACTTGGGATGCTGAGGCAAGAGAATTGCTTAAGCCCAAGAGTTTGAGGTTGCTGTGAGCTGTGACCTCACAGCACTCTACTGAGGGCAACATAGTGAAACTGTCTCAAAAAAAGAAAGAAAAAGAAAGTGACCACAATAGTCCAGGCACGAGATGACAAAGACATGAAATTTCACTGGTGGCTGTGGGAATGTTAAAGAAAGGATTTGAACCAGTAAGTGCTGGGATCTACTCTGGGGACATACATGGGGCAATTTTATTTTAGAGGTCTGGAGACATTTCTTTTTTCTCTTTTATTTCAACAAATATAGGAGTAAAGATTTTTTTTTTTTTTGTCACGTGGAGAACTGTGTCATGCTGAAGTCTGGGGACATTTGATAGGAAAACATCCTCTTTCTTATCCAATTATGGTGTCTATGTATGTGAATCAGATAGGTATTTGAAATAACAAGAATAAAGAATAAGTTTTAGTGCTTATATCAGATTTCTTCTATGATGCTGGTTAAGGTGGGTCCTTTATGGAGCCGTGGAGAGTACTGTTGGGATCCACATGGGAAAAGATTCCCCTGTCTCCCACCCCATAGTGTTGGGGAGGGTCGTGAGGGCATGGGGGGGCATGCACTTCCAAACTGTAGATGGAAGTGTACAGTGGTACAAAGGCCTTTGGGATACAAGCTTCAGAAGCCTTCAAAATGTACATGTGACTGGTAATTCCACTTGTAGAAATTTGTCCTTAGGAAATAATCAAATAGCTTGTACAAAGTTGTGCATCTTCAAACTGTTTTGAAGGGTGAAAAGTTGTAAATGACCCAAGTGTCTCAAAATAGGCAGTTGGTTAAAATATTAGCTGTTGAAAATATTGATGAACACCAACATCTACATTTATGTATATGGAAAAGCTCAGTGCACGATTTTAAATGGTAGAGGTGGTTACATGACTGTATACATAGGATCTCCCACATTTGAGAAGTATAAAACATTTATGTGCATTAAAACTTCTGAAAGCCTGTATACCCAAATTAAAAGAGTAGCTACTTATGAGTAAAATGATAACGTGCGAATTTAGTATTTTAATCTCTTATTCGCACCTATGGTTTCTGATCTATAATGGACACTGAGTTGTTGTGTAATTGTTGGGAAAGAAAAATGTTGGCTACAGATAAGAAGATGATGGAATGGGAGAATGGAAAATACTGAGTGGAAAATCCGTAGAACAAACAGGGAGACATGTTAAAATGATAGATGCATCGTGGAGATGTGAATAACATCACATTGAAGTAATGTATGCAAAATGGTAACATGTTGGCTCGGCGCCTATAGCTCAACCGGCTAAGGTGCCAGCCACGTACACCTAAGGTGGCGGGTTCGAATCCCCAGCCCGGACCCGCCAAACAACAATGATGGCTGCAACCAAAAAATAGCCGGGCGTTGTGGCGGGCGCCTGTCGTCCCAGCTACTTGGGAGGCGGAGGCAGGAGACTTGCTTGAGCCCAGGACTTGGAGGTTGCTGTGAGCTGTAATGCCACAGCACTCTGCCCAGGGGGACAGCTTGAGGCTCTGTCTCAAAAAAAAAAAAAAAGCAAAATGGTAACGTGTTAGAACGTCACAGTTAATTACAGAACGTGAACACCCTTAGCTTCCTATAAGGCAGTTGATACTTTTAGATTTACATTTTTCCTTTAAGGTGTAATTCTACCATATATAAGTGGCAATTAGTAAATAAATTGTTAAAATGATTCCTCTGAGGAATAGAGTTTTTGTTCCCTTCTAATAACTGAAAATACTTCCTTGATGTGATCTCATCAATTTCTACAACATCTCTGATGTCTGGGCAATGTTACTGTGATTTAGACATGAAGTCTAAGTCAATATTTCCTCAAAATAATGTTGCTGAAATTCTGAGACTACACATACATTTTGGGGGTTTCCCAAATTCCCTGTGAATGTCTTTTAAATGCTCTTTTTAAAATTTCGCTACCAATTTTCAAGAAATTCATTATAAATATACTCTGTATTTTCCAGTGTTACTCAGTGGCCTCAAAATGGAATTTTCAATTTACGTTAACTATTGTCATGGTACTAAGTAGCACAATTGTATTTATTGACCATAAGATAGACTTTTTTTCACAATTTAGTATCTCCATAGTCATGATACATCTTACATTTGACAGCACTTTAATACTGCGTCCTAGTTTAATTAGAAGTGTTTTTTCTTTCTTAGTGGTATATAAAATAATGCTGTATTTTAAAATCAAAGTCATTCTAGATCAATGAAGTTTTGTTTCTAGTCAATTAGAAAAATGTAAAGATGTATTTAATACTCAATGTTAGGTAAAAAGGTAAAATTTCCAAGAGGTCTCTATTTGTAAGAGACAGGGCTAGTGGCTTCAGACTTGAATAATTGATTGCTTTAAAATCGCTTAGCATGGGCAGGGTGTGGTAGCTCAGCCAGTAATCCTAACACTCTGGGGTGGCCCAGGTGGGAGGAGTGCTGAAGCTCAGTAGTTTGAGACCAACCAGAGCAAGAGGGAGACCCTGTCTCTACTTAAAAATAGAAAAATTAGCAAGGCATAGTGGTTGGCGCCTGTAGGGCTCAGGAGGCTGAGGTAGGAGGAGGTTGAGCCTAGGAGTTTGAAGTTGCTGTGAGCTAGGTGGCTACCTAGGCACGCTAGCCTGGGGCAACAAAGTGAGGGAAAAAAAAGTGTTTTGTATGAAGCCAAACGCTTGTATAATACCTCTATAGGTATGCCACACAAAACCACCCCTTGATGAAGATAGAGATGAGATTCTTTGTGTTGGACCTAAAACTTTATAGATACCTACACAGCAAGATGTAAAGAGTAAAGTCTCAGGAATTGCCAGTAGGTGAAACTCAGTTGAGGAAACAGAAAATGCTATTTATCTTGCTGTACCTGTGTGATAGATAGGGTGAGCAGTTTGGGTATGGAGCCAATAATAGTAACTTCTGTGTTGCTATGTCAAAGATGAGGTGCAGAGTGACTTTTATACTGGAGAGAAAATGAGGTTAACTTAATAAAAAGCCTCATCCAGGCAGGCACAAGCCTGACCAGTGACCATCTGCACCTTTTCCCCTCCCCTGTTCCTTCTCATTCTTTCCTCTCCCTCCCTGGCACTTCTGTCTTTATTTCCTCCTCCTGGGAGATCATTGGTGGTAGCCTCTGTCTGCTTCTGTGTCTCCCGGAGTGACAGTTAAATTTCCATGGCACAAAGCCATGTACCAGTGGGCATTTAATACAGAATAATAACTGTCATTGCTGTGGTCTTTAGGTGACTCCAGGTGTGACTTGCTGCCAGGATCTTTTGGAAGCCTTGTTGAACAGAGCCAAGAGTGAGAAGGAGCTAGTCTTAGCCTGGCGTGGCTGTAGGTGCACTGCATGTACTCTTGACATCCCACACCTGGTATTACTTAGAACGAATAG